GCAATGCGACTGCGTGGTCGTCGCCTCAGTGTCAGAAACGCAAACATCTCCAGAGTTTACAGACAAACTGACAAAAAGAACAAAAAAACGCCGTCGGCAGCCCTGTTGACATCAGAGGTCAGAGGTCAGAGACAGACTGCTTTGAACTCATAACCAAAGGTTGCATACGAGCATCCCTGAACAGCAGATGGGCACATTCACAAAAGAAGAAGACGAACAAACATGGACGATTCTCCGACGGCGTCCTGCCTTCATCCTTCACTGGCGTTCACCTGGTGTGGCGTCGTCAGATTTCAGGACCAGCTGAGCATCATCTGAACTCTGTTGCTGCTGTGCATCCTTTCATGACCGCAGCCCTGATGGCTGCTTCCAGCACGCTCCGGGTCAAAAGGTCAGATTATCTCAAACTGTTTCCTGAACAGGAAGTTCGCTGTACTCAGACGCCGCTACAGTCAGCAGATCAAAGAGTTTGTGTTGGTGCACGTTACTTCAGTAATGTCCTGTTTTATTCAGTTGCTTCTTCCACTGCAAGAGTACAAAACCATCTGAGGCTCTTAGTGTGAAGGGCAACAGGAAGGAACAAATGTTTCCTGGTTCAGACAACAGGATCAGCATCAGGCACAGACAGAGACGTGGATCTCCTCTGAGCTCGGAGGAAGCGGCGGCTTTTACAAGCATGAAGCCGCCGTTTGGCGACCTCAGACTGAGCTGGAGCTCCACAGGCAGACTCTGTTAGCTTTGTTCATCCTGATATGACGGATGCATCATCATATCATGTTTTTAATAAACTAACCGCAGTGAAAGCACAAACAGGACCTGTAACCACATGAAACCACCAGCAGCTGCTCAGCCGAACGCAGCAGCCTGCAGCTACAGGCCTGCGCTGTAATCCCTGCATCTCTCTCGGGACGGATTACATCTGCGCTCCTGCAGACAGAGAGAGAGGACGGTAATCTGACGTCCATCGCTCCCTCTGACACATCGACGCCATGTTGGCCTCATTTCTCCACAAAGGAAACAGGTTACAGAGCCCGTGTTGGATGAATCGTCTTTTCTCTGACGGTTGCACATAAAGAGAAAATATCTCTGATGCTCAAAGAGCAGCTGTTTGCTGACAATCTGACAGGATGTGATTTGAATGCATCTGTTTGAAATCATTTTATCTTTTTAAAGGCACAAAAACTGTTTGTTTCTTTCGTTGTGAGATGGATGGTTATTCACGTCCACGTGCTTCATCGTACAGGAAGAGCTGTTTGCCCTCTTCCTGTTTTTGTCCATGTTTGACACATTTGAACGT